AGACTCACATCTTTTGGTGTAATGGCTTTCTTACCCCTGTGGTGGGCGGCCAGCACACCTGTTGGAACCTGCAGGGTAACCCTAGATGTGGAAAGTACCCCCGCCAGTCTGAGACACAGGTTACTAAGGCAGAGGATCTACCTGTCGCACACACACACACACACACACACACACACACACACACACGCACACAGAGTTGTGTAGTATCACTGCTTCTTTCCACCAGACATGAAGTGAAATCCAGTAAGACCCCCACTACCTCCATCCTGCTAAGCTTCTGATGTCGGGAGGCATCAATGTGTCTGCACTTGTAGGTATAGTGTGTGTGTGTGTGTGTGTGTGTGTTCATGTATGTCAGTGTGAGCACTCAAGGAATGTGTGTTTCTCTTCACACATACAGGCTACTGTACACATGCAGACACGCTGTGTTTGATGCAGTACGTCTCCTGTCTGCGTGTGTGTCTCCTCTGCTGTGCATGCTGTGTGTGTGTGTGTGTGTGTGTGCGCGACCTCTCGACACTCTCCGTCTCGTTACACACCTGGCCTGCCATGATCAAGGCCTGAGGGGAGGGCAGGTGTGCTCGCTTCTTGCCCTCGCCACGGGAAAAACCAGCCGTTTGTATCGCCCCGGCTGCCCCGAGGGCAGCGCTACGAGGGGGAAAACCCAGCAGAGGCCATAAAACGGGCCTTTAATTTGCGTGTGTACCCCCCATGGAGCGCCGGTAGCCCCCCGGTGCCTCTGGACTGAGGTTGTGCGTGTGATCCCGCCGGGTGTTTGGGTTCATTTGGTTGGATCACATCAGAGAGGACTTTCCTCAGTAAGGGTTAAGAAGCTGGGACGCGGCTTCAAACGCACATTCCATCTACACACAGACAAAAGCCATGAAGTGTGTCGCAAATTTGTGTTTGTCTGAATTGTTTGATTCTACAAATCTAGCTTTTATTCTAAGGACAGTTTAAATGTCGTTGGAGACGGGTGGCATGAGCTCCGTACGCTGTAGATGCACGGGAGCAAAGCAACGCACTGAAGCGTCACAGGAAAAACGTGTGAACAAAACCACGCGGCGGGGATTTTTCTGGTGAGAGGGAGCAGCGACGACGAGTCGGCAGCTGTTTTGTTTCCTGTTGCGCAGGTGGATCATCACAGCCAACGTAACCCGCGACGAGAGGGAACCCACAGCTCCCAGAATAAACCCCACGTTACCGTCTGTGAAATTAGATTTATTAATCCCACGGCAGCAAAATGTGCAGGATAGCAGTTACAGAAAGTGTAATAAGAGACATCAGCAGAGAGCAAAACAAAGACGAGTACAATAAACAGTCAAAAAGTGACGACACTACAAATAAGTTAACAGGATAAAAAGTCAATAGAAGCTAAAATACATAAATCCATCAACGTTTAAAAACAATAGCTGCGATCAGGCACAGCGAGCGTGACGCTGGATGCACTGCTTCCATTAGCTGAGTTTTCCAAAGAGTTGCCGTCACGTTGTCTGCACTCGCTTTGGTGAGATCGTGTTCAGATAAGAACGTCTGAAATGTCCCTCGGGGAGTCGGCGAGTTCGGTGAAGCGCTTTCCAATCGATTCGACTCTTTGTACAGTGGGTCATGCGGGCGAACAGACGTTCTCAGGAGGATAATCACCAGAGTACCGTCCTTCTCTAACGCATGAATGCACCGATACACGTCACGTGTGATGGAAGTGTCAGAAACGTCGTCAACCCTGAAACATGAAACGAAACGCGGGCGCGCGCAGAGGCCGGAGAGGTGCACGCCGACTCGTACTCATGTTCCCCTCGGTCGTTGGAGTCTTTGGAGTCTGAGGATCCGGAGGCAGCAGCTCGTGCTGTTTGCATCCTGACACGTGTTTAACGTTGTGGAACTGTTGCAGTTAACGTTGCAGCACGTGGTTAATGCTAAACCGGTCCGGTTACTGCTGCAGCACGGGGTCGATGTTGAGGGAAAGTTGTGGTTAAAGTGAGACCACGGATGGGCGGATGGATACTTTTAACCTACACTGTTACTACACAGTGCTGATAACAGCAACGTCCCGATGGAGAAAAATACTCACTCGGCATCTATGCGTATTTTCATCTCAAATTTGTGGTATCAGAATTATACAAGAAGATAATAATGTAAATGCATTCCTGTTTGCACAATTTCCGCTACTCATCCAAAAATAGAAGAAAAAAAGGAAGAAAATTTGAAAAACAGACAATTAAAGAGTGAAAATATTTTTAAAAAATATTTAAAAAAATATATATATATAAAAAAATAGAAAAAAAATTTGATGGCATTTTTCAACCAAACATATTAACTTATTTTTCAGTCAAGATTGACCCACTATTATTTGGATTTCTTAAGACATTTTCCTATATGTTTAAAAAAATAAATCCATGGCATTTTCAAACAGATATATTTCGATTTCTTTCTTTCTTTTCATCACTGCTACACCGCTATATTCTTTTTTTAAAGATATATATACTGTATATATATATTTGGACTTTTATACTAAGACAATAGACAGTTTTCAACTTGCTATATTTTGCCTTTTCCCCCAAGATATCTTATTTTGAATTTGAATATGTTTACATCAGAATTTATTGTAATTTCAGTAAAGCTAGTGTTCCAGCAAGACAGCAAACAAGTGAAAGTGAAATTGTCTTAAACTTGTAGACTCAACCTGCTGCAAAAACCGGTCTGATTGTATATAGAAGTTAATGGGAAACAATTATTACCTCGGTCAACGTGATTTTCTGGTCTCACTTTGTATTTGAAATTGGTTCTATAGAGCTAGTTCTCTAGAGTAAAATAGACCATGAATATTTCTTTTGAATATATATTTGGACTTTTATCCAAACACAATTTTCAACCTTATTAGACACTTTTGGTAAAATATATAACATTGCTTACAGAATATCTCTGAACTTAAAGCTCAAACTATAGTCAGTCACTCTCTTTCCTGTCACCTTTCCTCTTCTCCACCTTCTCCTCCTCACGAGGAACTCTATAAATGTCCTAATGCCACCAGGGTGGGGTGATCCGGTTATTGCTAACCATCTCATACTCAACCAGGGCTTTTGTTTTTCAAAAGGCCGCGACAAGGCGTGGCCGAGCGACTAAACTCCCCGACCTCGTTCTGCTCAGCCGCTTTCAGCAGAGACGTTCACACAGAGACTCCCTTTGAACAGGAGGGACTTTGCACCACCTCTGCCGAAGGCTCATTTGAAGTGACTCACAGAAGAAGTCAAACTGGATGCAGCGGCATTTGCTGTTGAGCGGCACGCCGTCGTGTTCATCTTCGCCTACACGCCGTGGAGGAGGAGGAGGAGGAGGCTCGGCCCTGTATTTAGTGCTGTTTACATGGCCAGAGGTCACATTGAAACGGCTCATTCAACACCTGCCACGCGGCCCCTGTGGTCACGTTGACAGTCGTTAGCTCTGATTTGTGTGATGAGAGCGAGCGCAGCTAAAAAAAAAGGCCCAGCTTTGAATGCGCTCCTAAGTGGAAGTGGCTGCCTCTTTTGTTTTTTATGGCAGGTGGAAACCAGCTTAAGGTGTATTGATGACACGAGATAAGCCCCGCCCACCGGATACTGTCGTAAACCTCGTCCTAATGTCACTGTGAGCGGTGAGCCAATATTCAATTTAATAAAGAAAGGGGAAAACACGATCACCTCGGCTTGATCGGAACATTCCTAAACAGCACTGCGCTGGATGACTGAGTTGGGAAGCACACACGTGTACCCAATGAAGGCGTCAGGATCGATCGCATCCAGCTGGGTTGATGAGTGGACCTCAATGTCTGCCACACGAAGTAGATCCATCCCTGACGACTGTCAGGAGGAAGGCTTGCCGTTACAAACGGATGGGATGCTACAGGCGGCGGATCACCAGTCCAGTGGCTTCGTTGAAACCTGACAGAGCGGTTCCTTCCTCCCATGTGTTTGTGCTGCAGCCACGGCCAGCTTCTCACCACACAACAGCACAGGAAGGGAAGTCTGCTCCTTAATGAGGAATTTAGTAGGAAATACTGCCACCCGATGCCAACAGTGGGGAACTACAAAAACACCCCGAGTGGGATCATGAATGAAGCCCTCGGACGGACCCAGGTGCTTCTGTAAGTAAGTAAGTAAAGACTTTGACTTTTGACTTTTAATCAAATAAAAGAGACACCATGGAAATACAACTATAGGGTCGCCAAGGACGACGAGGTGCCGAGGAAACGAAAACCAAGGTTGTGTTCAGAAAGTGTAGTGTGGATGGATGTGGGGGAACTGGCCCTTTTCAAAAGGGGTCCCTTCACCTCAGGGATGAAAATGGTTTCTATGGTTACCTACAGGTCTCCTATTGACAGACATGACGACTTTAGACTGATAACATGGAGTTTGAGGAACAAGCCATCCTGTTATAATTTTAGCATTGACATTATAATTTTATTTCTACTGTCATTTGAAGCCTACCTGTCGTCAATAATAGTTAATTAATGAAAGAACTGTTTGTATTTCTAAAATCATACGAAGAAGGCCCATTTGTCTGTAGATGTGTAACTGGACACCACTTTGTTTTAATTATACACTAATTTTTTTCAGTTTTTTTCAGAAGTTGGAAACATTTCCAAATGAATTCAAACCAGCTCACGTTCCTCCGCAGTCCATAAAATATGAGGAAAGTGACTTACCGGCGGTTTTAGATGAACAAATCAAGACCATTCTACTCTGTGGATTTGTTCTCCTTGATCTCATGTTTATCTCCCAGAACAAATGCGTGCGTCAGTCCTTCACTGTGTTCAAACCCTGATATTTGAGGTGTGCTGGTTCAAAGGTCATTAAAAAACCACAAACTAAAAGAACCAATAAACATATGCTCTTCACGGCATGCACTGATATGTTTATCATTTCGTTTTTAAACTGGTATTCTGACTAAACCGTTAACGTCTATGTTAATTCCCGTTGTATTAATGTACTCTCGCGATACGGTGCGTTATTTGAGCAGTTGACGCATGCGCAGTTCACGTCTCTACTCCCGCAGTACAGCTCAGAATGAATAAGAAGGGCCACGTCAAATTGAATGAAACTGTCTTTTGTTGCTTATAATTCATCCTGGATCATCTCTGCCTTCTCAACCGCGTCCAGAACCGCAATGGAGGAAGAGGAGGGGCACAAAAAAATGAAGTATTTGTTAGTCATCTGTTAAGCTAACCAGCTAGCTGCCGTTAGCATCGGGCTCCCGCAGGAAGCAGCATCAGTGGTGTTGCTGCTTATTATAAGAAACAGGAAGATGTACTTTCTCTACACAATCATCGCGTCCTTAGTTGCTTTTTTCATTCTGAAATGGATGAAAAAGAGGAGGTATTGTACCGATTTGAAAAGACTTGATGGCAAAACAGTTGTTATTACAGGTAAATAAATGTCTTGCTTTGTAGAAAACACAATATTATAATGTAATGTTTATAACTTTGTGTAACACATATCTTATTTGATAAAGTTGAATTTTACCAGCTGCTCCATTAAAGTGATAAACACCAGTACAGAACATATTGTCTTCTGAAATGGGTCATTCTGCAAACTAACTAGTTTTACCTTTGGTTACTTTCAGTATATTTTGTTGTTGATACGTTTGTGTTATAACTAAGCTGAGTACTGCTGCATGAAGATCAATGATCTAAATGCTCTTCTGCAGGTGGGAATTCCGGCATCGGCAAGGAGTCAGCCGTTGCCTTGGCAGCGAGAGGCGCCCGCGTCGTCGTCGCCTGCAGAGACCCCGACAAGGCTGAGGAGGCCGTGAGGGAGATCAAGGTCAGGAGCCGCAGCCTCAACGTCCTCCACATGGAGCTGGATCTCGCCAACCTGCGCTCTGTGAGGGGATTCTGCAAGAACTTCCTCCAGAGGGAGAAGAGGCTTGACATCCTGATCAATAACGCAGGTGAGGCTGTCGGACGCTCGTGGAAATCCCTTCATGGGTTAAAACACCAGAGAAAATACCATTAATTATTATGGCAACATCAGCTAAAGCCCACGTGCTTCTACTTCCTCCACCTCCTGGTTCTGACCTCCTTCTCCACCTTCTGCGGCGCTTCCTGCAGCCATGCCCGGCGTCCTCGACTGGACGGACGACAGCTTCAGCATGTGTTTTGGCGTCAACCACCTGGGTCACTTCCTCCTAACCAACCTGCTTCTGCCCCGGCTGAAGGAATGCGCCCCCAGCCGGGTGGTCACCCTCACGTGCTCCACCTACAAATACCAGAAGCTCAACTTCCAGGACCTCAACTACAACCTGCTGCCCTTCTTCACCTACTGCCGCAGCAAGCTGGCTAACGTCTACTTCAGTCAGGAAGTGGCCCGCGTCACTGAAGGGAAAGGAGTGACCTCCTACGCCGTGCACCCTGGTAAGAGGCGCCGCGACGTGGGCCGATCGTGCACAATATTCACCTTATTCGCTTACGAGATACTACAAACAACACAGGAAACTGTTAAGCGCATTTTGTGGAAGTAAACGTGATGCTGAATTCATTCACTTGAACTCAAAGAGATTCACGTTTTCCAACCTAAACACGCAGCGTGTGATAAAGCGCACAAACACGCGTTCTTTGTGCCTCCAGGTTTGGTCCAAAGCGGCTGGACGTGCCACTACTCCGTCCTGTTCCGCATGCTGATGCAGGTGATCATGTGGATGTTTTTCGTGCCGTGTGAGGTCGGGGCTCAGACCGTCATCTACTGCGCTGTGTCACAGGAAGCAGCCAAACACAACGGGGGTTACTTCGTCGACTGCCGACCGGCCGCTCTGCGTCCCTTCGCCAGAGACGCTGCTGTGGCTAAAAAGCTGTGGGAGGTCAGCGAGAGGCTGGTGAAAGAGGCCTGATGGGGAAGATGTGGGCAGGTTGGACCTCATGTGCTTCTTTTGTGTTTGTGTTTTTCATTCACATCGGTGGTGTTGTTGGCAGATGTAAAGATTTAGTTGTGCAATTTGAGATGTTTTGCGTGAATAAAAGACGTTACAATGCTGTTGCCTGACTGGGTTTCATCCATTTCATCAACTGAGAGTAAAAGAGGGAAATATCTTTTTTTGTGGCATTTCATCGAACAAACATTCAATTCAGAAACTGTTTAATTGTAATTGTCTTAGTGTTGTCCGTTAGGTTTGATTCAGTCAGAGTGTAATATTAAATTATCCAATGTTCCTCCACATCTGAGGCTTTGATTGATTGACATTATTGATTGACAATATTTTTTACTGCCGATTAATTACAATGAGGATGTAATCTTTTCACGGGACTGTGCTGGTATACACACATGATTTGACGTGATTATTTCCTATAAAGTTTATACAACTTTATAAAACATTGTGTTTTAATGTGTTTTTATAGTAAAAGAAATGTTGCAAATTCCATCATTTTTATTACGTTTACTTTTGTCACTTTAAAATTAATCGTTTTCTAAAAAAGCGCACAAACACATGTGTTCTTCGTATAAATAAAACATCACCACCTGTTGGTAACTAAAGGAATTGTCAGCTACTTACACAATAAAAAGGAGAGAAAGTGAAACTTAAAGCTGATTTCCTTCCTCGTTGTTGAACGGAGCCCAGAGACGCATCACAGGGTGAGAAATCTCTACTAAACAAGATCACAACCATCGAGATCTGTAATTCAGAGTCAGATTTGATCATTCAGAGCAAATGGCTGAAAAAATCGCTGTTGTTGAAAGTTTCCTGAGCTGCCATGTTTGTTCAGAGACGTTCAGAGATCCCGTGTCTCTGAGCTGCAGCCACAGCTTCTGTTCAAGCTGCCTGACGCGATTCTGGGAACAAGCTGGAAACAAGAACTGTCCCATCTGTAAAAGAAAATCCTCTAAAGATAATAGTATAGTGAATTTTTCACTGAAGGCACTGGCCGACTCGTTTGCTGGGAGACAGAAAACTGGATCAACTGAGACAGAAAAAGGAGAGACGAAGGTGGAGGTGGTGTGTTGTGAACATGGAGAAGCGAATAAGCTGTTCTGTGAGGACGAGCAGAAAGCTGTGTGTCCTGTCTGTGAGTTCTCTCTCCACCAGAGTCACAAGGTGGTTCCTCTAGAACAAGCAGTCAGGAACCTGAAGGACCAGCTGAGATCTGACTTGGAGTCTCTGCAGGACAAGAAGGACAAATACCAACAAGTGGAGAAAACATACAATGAAGTGATCCAACTCTCCAAGAAGCAGCTGGTGTCCACAGAGAGGAAGATCACAGCAGAGTTCAACAAGCTCCACCAGTTCCTGAGAGAGGAAGAGGAGTCCAGACTGGCAGCTCTGAGGGAGGAAGAGGAGCAGAAGGGGAAGACCATCAGCAGAGAGATGAAGATGATTGAGGAGCAGATCTCCTCTCTGTCAGACAGCATCTCTGCTGTTGAAGAAGACCTGCAGAAAGACAAGGTGTCGTTCCTCAGCAGTTATAAAGCCACTCAGACCAGAGCCAGAGTCCAGAGCTCACTGACAGATCCACAGCTGGTCTCAGGAGCGCTGCTAGATGTGGCCAAACACCTGGGCAACCTGTCCTTCAGAGTCTGGGAGAAGATGAAGGACCAGGTCCACTTCAGTCCTGTCATTCTGGACCCAAACACTGCAGAATACAGCCTCTATCTGTCTGATGATCTGATCAGTGTGAGACATGGAGACACAAACCAGCAGCTGCCTGATAATCCAGAGAGATTCACTAAGTATGCAGAAGTTCTGGGCTCTGAGGGCTTCAGCTCAGGGAAACACAGCTGGGAGGTGGAGGTGGGAGACCATCCTCACTGGAATTTAGGTTTGGTTAAAGAGTCAGTTGACAGGAAGGGAGAGAGAGATGCTTCACAAAAACATGGAGTCTGGTGTTTAGTTCATCGCAGTAGAAAATACACTGATGGAGCTGGTCAGACTGTCAGAGTGAAGAAGAGTCTCCAGAGGATCAGAGTCCAGCTGGACTATGACAGGGGGGACGTGTCCTTCTACGACCCTGAAGACACGACTCACATCTACACTTACAGAGACACTTTCACTGAGAAACTCTTCCCATATTTTGGTATTGGAAAGTCTGGTGACGCTAAAACTGCTGATATCAAAATCTGTCAAACTGATGTTTCTCTGTGATGTTCAGTGAAGTCAAAGTGATTCTGTTCTTGTTTGATGTTTATTATAGTTTTTTTGTTGCTAATTTCTGTAAATATTTTCAAATTAAAGAATGAGAAACTGAAAATGAGGGATGATGTTCTAAATAGTATTGAAGTTTGCATTAAAAGCCTTTAGTTTAAATTACCTGACCACATGAAGCCTCATCCTACTTTATCTATCTTCTTCATTTATTTATTAATCATCTATCTCTGAAATCAATAGTCAGAATTATTAATCACTGCTTATTTTTGTGTAATCTGAAGTATCTTTAATTACATTCAGATGTTGTGTTTGCAGAGTTCTACTAAATAAAATACTTTATTCTCATTCACACCTTTCTGTTCCATTCCTCATCCTGTGTTCCTCTCATTGTTTAATTCTGGGTTTGTGTTGGTTGATGAGATGTAGAAGTACGTACAAGAGGTGAAGGACACTGTGCACCAACACTGGTGAGCTGCAGCTACATATTAGTGTCTATTCCTGATGAAGAAAAGATCATCAGTCTTTAACTAGAAGGACTTTATTCCAGTTTCAGATTTATAAATAATTCCTCCAAATAAAATAACAAAATGTTCCTGCTCAGAATGAATCAAATACTGATGATGCTGATGTAGTAATTGAATTGTTATTTGCCATATGTGTGCCCAAATTAAGGTGTAGAAGCACTAAAAAAGTGGATGTGTCCCCTTTAAAAGGTGATATTGTCACGGATGTGTTCATTAAATTGCATGAGATCAACCTGGTCAGCAAATATTTTGGTCAAAAACATGAACGACTTCAATAAAAATACACAGCTGACTCAATTTTCTGTTTAAATGATCATTTTATTGATGACACCGTCACATTTTCTTGAAGTCATAGAAACACGTGTAGCACGTAAGAGAACAGAGCACTAATCCAAAGAATCAGAGAACTAGAGGATTACTATTATTATACAGAAGAAACCCAGAGGGACACAAAGGGACAACGGTGAAGTAGAAAGAGGCGACTGCAGAGAAACGATGGAATAAAGTCAGAAACGAGGCAACGGGAGAAAGCGTGAAAGAGCAGAGAAGTCAACTCAGTGTTGTCAGTGCAAAAGTCAACTGGTTGTGCGGCTGCATGAGAAGCATCACTGGGCCGTCTGTGTGTGTCTGTGCCTCACGTTGTGTGACTGCGCCCCCTGCTGGAGCTCCTTCTCTCTCTGCTGCCTCTCAGTGAAGCTCCACTCAGTCGTGGTGCTCCTCGTGTTCTCTGAGCTACGCGAGGGCCACGTTCTGCACCGACAACACGGGGCCCCAGAGGAGAGCATCTTCATCATCATCGTCATCGTCACTGTCAACATCCTCCTATAGTGCCACATCATCAACATCATCATCTCCTCTGTATCATCTAGAGATAAAAGTCTTCATACGCTGAGAGAATAGACAGAGAAAGGTTGATTATAACAGCATTCAGTAGAAAGGGAACTAAGTAAAAAGAAAAGAAAGTAAACTAAAATAAAAACACCAACAAATAAAGTGTCCAGTTGACTGTCGCGTAAAGTGAATGCAGCTAAGCAGCAGTTACCTGCAGGTGTGTGATACTGTGTCCTCCCTCATTTTAAACATGTGAATCTTATATTTTAATAGGACAAGACCCAAACCACCATAGCAGATCTTGCACGGTGAGAATCCTTTTCCTCAGCAACCAGTCCACTGGGTCGTGTCGGTTATATATATATATATATATATATATATATATTCTGATGTCACGAGAGGCGCCGCCGCTCTCTCCGGGGTAGTTCAAATAGTGCGAGGACACCGGGTTCAAAATGTAAACAAAAGGTTTTAATTTCCGTCCTTCAGGTTCAACAGAAAACAGTCACAAACAGGGGGCAACTCAGGCTTCGGTCAATCTTTGCCGGTAAAACTTAACTTAGCGGAAATCCACTTCTTTAAGGAAAACAACACCGTCCTCCCGGTCTCTCCTGCCTCCTAGAATCCTTATGGCTTGGTCTGCTCTTCTCAGCTCGTCTCCCCTCCAACGGTGTGTCTTCCACCTTTATGAAGGCCTCCCGGTCGTCACACCCTGATGGGTCTCAGGTGTGAGGGGAATGCTCTGAGTTTCAGGGCACCAGCAGATGGAGCCATAGGAGTTACAGCCATCGCCGGTGAACGTATCTCCCTTCCAAGACCAAGCCTCTCGTGACATCACAATATGTATACATGTATATGTATATGTATGTATATATATGTATATATAACACAACCCCAATCTAAATCCATCTTTTTGCTGTGTGCCGGAAACCTCAGAAGATAAGTGAAGGTTTTAAGGACATCACGTCCCCGATGGTGTTCGGGGACGTGACCCAAAGCATCACGGCGGACGAGATCGTCTTGCAGTACGACGAGGAGCTCTTTAACTCAGCAGGGGTCCAATACGAAGAAGCACCATTAACAAAACAGAACCTTCGTCAGACAGCGAGACTCGTGCAGGAAGTTAGAGAGAGAAGAAGCTGGAGGACTTCTTGCTCACGTGAGGCTTATTATTGCACATGTCAAATCTGGTCTGTGGAGAAATTAAGTTTGCATCATTTGCATCATTCACTGGAAATATGTAGAAGAAATAAAATGAGCAAGTTCCAGACCAATCAGCAGGCAGTATTGTAAATATGATCTTACCCCTCCACCACCACCAGGGAGCAGTTCTGGACTTGATTGACTAAATGTGAAACACAGTAAAAAGTCAACACAGGCCTGTTAGGAAAACAGGTTTATGCAATATAAAAAAATGAGACAAAGACAAATCACGTCCAAACTTTTTCCACCTTTAATGTGACCTATAACGTAAACGACTGCTTTAAAAAAAACTGAGAAACTTACAATATCCTGGTTGCATAAATATTCACGCCCTTAAACTAACACTTTGCTGAACACCTTTTAATGTGATTACACTATAAAACTACTGCTACAAACTACTTTCTCTCTCTGTCTGATGATCTGACCAGTGTGAGACGTGGAGACACAAACCAGCAGCTTCCTGAGAATCCAGAGAGATTCACCTGGTATACAGAAGTTCTGGGCTCTGAGGGCTTCAGCTCAGGGAAACACAGCTGGGAGGTGGAGGTGGGAGACCATCCTTACTGGAATTTAGCTTTTGTTAAAGAGTCAGTTGACAGGAAGGGAAAGAGAGGTGCTTCACCAAAAGATGGAGTCTGGTGTTTAGTTCATCGCAGTGGAAAATACATTAATGGAGCTGGTCAGACTGTCAGAGTGAAGAAGAGTCTCCAGAGGATCAGAGTCCAGCTGGACTATGACAGGGGGGACGTGTCCTTCTACCACCCTGAAGACATGACTCACATCTGCACTCACAGAGACACTTTCACTGAGAAACTCTTCCCATGGTTTAGTGTTGGAAAGTCTGGTGATGCTAAAACTGCTGATATCAAAATCTGTCAAACTGATGTTTCTCTGTGATGTTCAGTGAAGGTGGTGAAGTCAAAGTGATTCATCAGCATGTTTATTATAGTCTTTTTGTTGTAGTATTCTATTATATTCTGTAAAATATATCTGTAAATATATTTTACAAAATATATTATATTACAAAATGAGAAACTTAAGGTTAAATAAGCAGAAGTGTGTGTGAGGGATAATGTAAATAGTGTTTTTGGTGTAAACATCCTTCAAGTACAGATGAGTAGATTCACTGTGATCATTTATTTTAACTACTTTTTTTCCAAACAGCAACAACGTTAAGTTCAGGCTTTAGTTTTAAATCACGTCACCACATAAAGCCTCATCTCACCTTATTGATCTTTAACATTAAACGTGTTCTTCATTGTTTCTTTATAGTAAACTGCTCAGTTTACAAGGGCAAAGGCCACATGCACGAACAAAAGTAGGTTACTATTACTAATGCCTGCCCTCACATGACCCGCTCGGGCCTAAGCCAGAGTCCAAACAGTCGATGAGCTCGTCCAGGAAGGAGGGCGGCTTCTTCTCCTGGTCGCCCCACTGCAGACACTTCTTCTCGGCCCAGGACGCCGAGTCGTCCGTGAACGGCCGCTCCTGGTGCCGCGCTAACACGTGAGCCGCGCTCTAGAGCCCCTGCACGTGTCTGCGGTCAGACACCAATCAAAGTTACCACAAAGGAAAAATGCCCCCTAAATTAAATGTGGAGGAGCTAAGTTCAAGCCGGCGCTGAAGCTATTTAAATGTTGATTATTGTGTCTGATAATATTCTACTAACCCATTGCATTAGCATTTCCTTTTATTTTATTACTTGTGCACTGTTGTCTTGTCTGTCTACTGTCACGCACTAACCGCCAAGACAAATTCCTTGTATGTTTGGCATATTTTGGCTAATAAATGTTTCCTGATTCCTGATAACAGATTAACTGACTGTAGTCAAAAGATGAGAGAAAATTACAAATATAAGCAAACTCCACGCCAAAAAGTATGTGGTGACAGAAAATGTTTAATTATGTCTCAATTGTGTATTTATTTCAAATTGTGGTGTACTAATTGCAGTGTTTTTTGTTAACCTTCTTCAATATTTAAAAGCAGCAGCACTAGATACAAGGGACGTGTTAAGAACATCTCTTTACATAACGGCATCTTAAAAGCTATACATAAAATATCTTAAAGTATTTTATATTATGTTTACACTGGATTCTAAATCAACCTGATCACACGACGTGTTCAGGTGCAAAAACATTTTCTGTTCTAATAACACACCTGACAGGTACGCCCCAGTTGTGTTGAAGTGTCCTCCATCGGTGGAGACAGTAAATGGGATCCAACCCGTCTCGTACAGTAAAGGAGAGACACAGCAGCCGCTTCAGCGTCAATAAACCCTCCGTGTTCAATCTCATCTCTGAATCTGCAACATTGAAAACACTCTTTGAAGTTCTGCACGGCGCGACTACTTTGTCCTTAGCGTCATTTGGATGAGCTGAATAACTATTTCAAGTACAAGGTGGACTGTGACCGGGGGGGACGTGTCCTTCTACGACCCCGAAAACACAACTCACATCTACGCTCACAGAGACACTTTCATGGTTTAATATTGGAAAGTCCTGGGAACTGCTGATATCAAAATCTGTCATTAATATTTCTCTGTGATTTTCAGTGAAGGTGGTGAGGTCGAAGAGATTCGTCAGGATGTTTATTATAGTCGTTTTGTTGTTGTTTTCTGTAAATATTTTCAAATGAAAGAATGGTAAACTGAAGTAGAAATATGCAGAACTCGGTGTGTGAGGGACGATGTTCTAAATTGTGTTTTTTGGTGTAAATATCCTGTGGTTCGCCAACATCTATCGGAGGTTCATCAGGAATTACAGTGCGGTGGCTTCCACGCTCACTGGCCTCACCTCCTCCAAGACCCCTTTCATGTGGACTCCTGCAGCCGAAGAGGACTTCCAGACCCGGGAATCCAGGTTCACCTGAGCAACCCATCCTCCAAGTACCAGATCCGGATATGGGGTCGTTTTTTGATGCAGGTGGATGCCTCCGACACAGGGTTTGGAGGTGTTCTATCCCAGCACCCGGGCCACTGACCAAAAGCTCCATCCCCATGGCCTTTTCTCAAGTCGGCTTTCCCCCGCCGAGATAAATTATGACATTGGTAACGAGAACTACTGGCATGAAGCTGGCTCTGGAGGAGCGGCGACATTGGTTGAAGAGAACCAAACTCCCGTTTGGACAAACCAGGAGTGCGTCTGCACGGCGAAGAGACTCGATTCCTGACAGGCCAGATGGTCGATATGAGACAAAGAATTATTGAATAAATGTTCTGACTTCAGTGAGTGCACCAAAACGTGTGTGAAAGAAACGGCTTTGTCTTCGTGCCAAGAAATGAGTGAAAGTCTCAGTGTTGACTCTGTTTTTAAGTGAACACTGATTGTGACTCAAGATCGGTGCACAGGGAAATAAAACAGGTTTCTGCGCCTGAAGGCCCAAAAGTCGTTTTCCTGAAGAACAGGTATGGTGAGGTGAGTTAGAACCTGTGAATGAGACATTTGTAGAGCCATTTGAAGAGACATGCCACGTACCAGCCTGCTTCAGGACCTAAACCTTTATCCCTGTCCCCAAGAAGCCCAGAATCACAGCACCTAATGACTACAGGCCCGTCGCCCTGACCTCTCTAGTAATGAGGTCTTTTGAACGGCTAGTCCTGTCCCACCTAAAGACCCTCACCGACCCCCTGCAGTTCGCCTACAGAGTCAACAAGTCTGTAGACGATGACATGACACAACATGACCCTCCACTTCATCCTCCTGCATCTGGACTCTCCAGGAACCTACGCCAGGATCCTGTTTGTCTGACTTCAGCTGCACTTTCAACACCATCATCCCGTCTCTGCTGCAGGACAAACTCTCACAATAATCTACTACAATGGTTAGAAGATGTCCGACCTGAGAGAATGGTCATCTGTCAGAGAGCATTTATTAATGGGAATATCCCTGATGGTGTATACAGACTTCAAAGACTGGAAGTGAATCTACAATTTTGGTGGGTCCCTGCTCTTGTAGGTGTAGAGAGCAATGACGGAGCGGATACGATTGCAAATGGAGCACTAAAACGAAGAGAAGAGAAGGTATCTCTTTGGAAAGAGGGAAGCTAGATCAGTAATAAGAGAGGCAGCATGCAATTTATGGCAGAAGAAGTGGAATAACAACAAAAAAGGAAGACATTATCGTAACATTCAGAAATCTATAAATGTGAAGACATACGAAGGGAAGTACAGAACAGACATACAGGACTTAAATGAACGCTGTATTTAATGGCAAAAAGGGTAAATGCACAATGTGTAATGTTACAGAAGATGTGAAGCATGTTATCCTGAAGTGTCGATGAGGCAACTCAGAGAAGAACATCTTAAAACAAATAGTGAGTCAGTTGGGACAGTTTGGAGGGATTCTGGCAGGTAGGACGGTGCAGTACTAGAGGGCACAGTATTAACCTGTAGGATTTATTTGTTAGTAGATTCTTTTTTTATTGTATTGTGGTTTTTGTCTGTTCATCTATAAGATCAGTGACGACATGACGCCCTGATATCGCACACTCCGGTACAGTAGGTGGCGATGTGCACCTATTCAAGTTGGTGCGGCCTGCCAATCAAATTTAAAGAAGAAGAAGAGCAGCTTTCCTTGCTGGGGAGTTGGCAACACTGCTTCCAAGTTGCTGAAAGGGGCCGAGGGACACATCACAGGGTGAAGTATCTCTACTAAGCACAAGATCAGATCAATTGTCATGTTCAATTCAAAGAGACTCAGATTTGAAGATTCGAAGCAAATGGCTGAAAAAAATGCTCTTTTGGAAAGTTACCTGAGCTGCCATGTTTGTTCAGAGACGTTCAGAGATCCCGTGTCTCTGAGCTGCAGCCACAGCTTCTGTTCAAGCTGCCTGCAGCGATTCTGGGAACAAGCTGGAAACAAGAACTGTCCCATCTGTAAAAGTAAGTCCTCAACGGATGAACCAGCAGTGAACTTAACACTGAAGGGACTCGCTGACTCCTTTGCTGACAGACAGAATAATGGATCAACTCAGACGGAACCAGAGAAGGAGAAACAGGAGGTGGTGTGTGAAGAACATCCAGAAGTCCCTTATTGGTTCTGTGAGGACGAGCAGAAAGCTGTGTGTCCTGTCTGTGAGTTCTCTCTCCACCAGAGTCACAAGGTGGTTCCTCTAGAACAAACAGTCAGGAACCTGAAGGACCAGCTGAGATCTGACTTGAAGTCTCTGCAGGACAAGAGAGACAAACACCAACAAGTGGAGAAAACATACAATGAAGTGATCCAACTCTCCAAGAAGCAGCTGGTGTCCACAGAGAGGAAGATCAGAGCAGAGTTCAACAAGCTCCACCAGTTCCTGAGAGAGGAAGAGGAGTCCAGACTGGCAGCTCTGAGGGAGGAAGAGGAGCAGAGGGGGAAGACTATCAGCAGAAAGATGAAGATGATTGAGGAGCAGATCTCCTCTCTGTCAGACAGCATCTCTGCTGTTGAAGAAGACCTGCAGAAAGACAAGGTGTCGTTCCTCAGCAGTTATAAAGCCACTCAGACCAGAGCCAGAGTCCAGAGCTCACTGACAGATCCACAGCTGGTCTCAGGAGCGCTGATAGATGTGGCCAAACACCTGGGCAACCTGTCCTTCAGAGTCTGGGAGAAGATGAAGGACCAGGTCCACTTCAGTCCTGTCATTCTGGACCCAAACACTGCAAACTACTTTCTCTCTCTGTCTGATGATCTGACCAGTGTGAGATATGGAATCATAAAGCAGCAGCTTCCTGATAATCCAGAGAGATTCACTAAGTATGCAGATGTTCTGGGCTCTGAGGGCTTCAGCTCAGGGAAACACAGCTGGGAGGTGGAGGTGGGAGACCATCCTCTATGGTTTGTAGGTTTGGTTAAAGAGTCAGTTGACAGAAAGGGAGAGACAGGTGCTTCAACAGGTGATGGATTCTGGTGTTTAGCTCTTCACAATGAGAT